GCACAATGAGTTTTTATGTTATCTATTAGATTTTAGTGGTAAATTTGACAGATATAGGTTAGCATGTGACAGTTCTTCTTCTGTTTCTCAATACTGCAAGTTAAGTTATCCAGTTTTATGAAATATGCTGATATTAATGAATGTCTCTAAACTGTTTTAATTAAGATATCAAAAGTAAATTAATGTGTTAAATATTGGCATACTTTAACAATCTTTAATTAATTAAATTTAAATGTAACAATACGAATAATTGAAGTACATCCCACATTATAACTAACTCAGTTTAGTCCAAATTACAGAACAAATTACAGTGATTCTTTGGTAACTAAACATGTATATTTTGTAATCAAACGTATAACAAATTTACAAAATTTTATTTGAAAATATTGTTGATGTGAGTTATCTGTCATGGTGTGTATAAATATTTTAGATATTTAATTCAAGTTCTGATATATTAATATGTAACCAAAGTAATAAGTGGATAATTATTGATAATTAATTTATGGATTCTAGAAATTAACTGAATTATTAAGCCTTCAATAATTAGTTGGTAGTTCTAATATCTGACAGTTGAGACCGGAAGTTGTTATACCAACAGGTAAAAGGTATTTTAACAGTCTATTTAAACCGGTGTAAAGTAAATTTATTCTTATTTCATTTTTTTGTGTCATATGAACAGATATTCCTCTTTACCTATTTTTAAAGAAGTAGAAATTTTAAATACAATTACAACAAGAAAATTGGAATGTCTCGGATATATTACACGTGGAGAGAAATACACCTTGCTCCAACTGATTATACAGCGAAAGATTCAAGGAAAGAGAAGCATATTGAGGTGTAGAATGACATAGCTGCGCAAACTGAGAAAGTGGTACGGATGTACATCAAATAAACTTTTCAGAGCAGCCGTATCAAAAGTCCGAATAGCTATGAAGATTGCCGACCTTCGCTGCGGAGATAGCACTTGAAGAAGTAGAAGATACTACAGATTCTGAGACTGATTGAACAGATGCCACCAGTAGCACTTTCTAGAGATAATCAAACGACAAAGAAATACGATTTTGGGCACAGTAGCTCCATGTCATATCTGGTACCTTCTTAGCAAAGCTGAGTTTCGAAAAGCCTAATGAGGATAAATTCTGTCAGGATGCTAGAGAAAAGTGTCACAAAGGACAACACTGTCCTTGATTATTGCACATAATGTAAACACAGACACTGCAATAATTATAACTAATAATTGAAGACATGAGATGATAAAGGTGCCATGTCCACTTTTTCAGATATTGAGTAATTGAAGGAAACGCGTTTTCACTTATATATTTTTTTTAATAAATTTTATAAAAATTACCAATATCTTATTAGATTAGAATCGTTTTGTACTTTTTTATATAATATTTTTTGTTTTTCTAGAATTTAAACTTTTTTAGTAATTTTAATTTTAATGGACATAGCACCTTAATCAACCAACATTTTATGCAGATGTTGGTATAAACTTGAGTAGAGAAAGGTGTTATGTCACCTATGTTGTATTTAAATTTAAAAAAAATAATAAAAAAAACTATTAAATAATCTGGAAATTAAATTTTATTTGCAGATTAACAAAAGCAAAGTAAGATACATTAAAAATTTATAAACAAAGACACAGAAACATTTAAATTTAACATGAATTACGTTTTTTCTTAGGGTTTTTCAAACATTCTTCTAAAACAATATCATAATACCATTTATACTCTGCTGGAATAAACGTAAGTTGATCTTGTAGATTTGAAATTTTTTCAGAAGTCAAACCACCGCATTTAGGTAACTTTTGTAAAACAACTTGATTACTTTGTACTATCAGTTCTCTTTTTTTTTGTAAGTCAACTTCCATAAATGGGGTAAACGGATCTAAACTAGTTTTGTAAAAGTATTTTCCAAAACAACTTACTCTTAGCCACTTCACTTTATCTCGAAAATTTATTTTTTGGTCAAGACTATTAGTGAGTCTTTTGTTTAAATGAAGTTTTGCAGGTAGAGTTTCAAAGCAATAAAAAAATGTTCCATGTTAAGGCATACACTTTGTTTGGTACTCGCAGATCTAATAATTTCCCGATATTGGTCTGGTATATAAATATTCTGATGTTTTCTAAGAACCTTTTCTATTCTTCCAAAGTCTCTGTCAGAGTCAAGGTAACTGTGACCAACTTCGGGAAATTTATGGTCAATGATCTTAAATATTTTATTTAATATTAGGTATTGAAAAAGGTTAATAATGGAGAAGTTTTTGTTTTGTCCCCCACATTGATCTGACCAAATTATTAAATGATCAATTTGGGGATTTTCTTCTTTAAGAAGCAGACAAAATCGTAGCAAACAACTTGCTATTTCATTACTTCCCCTATTGGCAATATCCTCAGTCCATGTAAAAAAATAGGACTTATGACCAGAACTGGTTAAACAGTGGACTCCAAAGTTGTATAGCCACATTTGTCTTAAGTAAAAAGATTTTGACGTTGATAGCTTTGGCAAAGGCATCGTTTGTTGAAGATCCATTGTTATGTAACATTTTTCTTTGGAAATTTTTACTGCTTCGCGGTCAACTTTCTGCTGCGCAAAAGCAAGTTGAAAATTATTCGAGTGCTCTAAAGAGTTCTCTCCAGCATCGCATAAACTGCAAGTATCACTTTTTGGTACACCAAAAGATAAGTTAAACCTTGTTTCAAATATATGTCTGTAAAAAGAGGCCTTTACGAAATATTTAGTTTCGAGCTTTTTTGTTTGACAATCCTCTATATACAGTTGATGAAGTCGGTTAATATTTAGTAAAGGGGAAAGGTATTTTTTATGTGGGTTTTTAGTCCTAGAATAATGTGATTCTTCTGAAGGAAACTGCTTGATATGATTTTCAATGCAGTTTATTACTTCATCGGATATTTTTTTTGGATTTTTGTGATGCCCTTGCTTATGTGGTGAGGGCATTACCTGGCCAGATTTTAAGTCATTTTGAGCTTTAAAGACTTTTTTTCGTCCAATTCGGTATAAAGAGCAGAAAGCATCTTTACACACTAGTGTATTTTCTTTATCACACGTAATAAAATATTTAAAGCTGTAAGCTTTCGTTTTTATATTTTTACGAGGGCGGTGACGATTAACTTCCTGCATCTTAATACTTTTAAAAATTAAAATATTTTTGGAATTTGTATCTAGCTTATAAAATTTTCTTAGAATTTCTTCTCTGCTTGCAATACTAAACTTCTCAGTACAGTTTAGTCTACATTTTTCTTTACACAGTAAATCTCTTTTAATTGTTTTTTCTTCCATCACTTTACCAGTCTTTTGAGAAATATATTCTTTACCTTGTTGTCTTAACCTTGCAGCTTTATTTCGTTTCCAATTATCAGGTTTCCGGACTCTTTTTTTAGTTATTTTTTAAAACTGGTTTAACAATTTCTCTTCTACTTATTTCATCGGCAGTAACATGGAATTGCTGGTTATGGTCTTCTATACGTATTTCCCGAGGTATTTCCTCCTGCACTTCGTCAATCCTATCCGGGGTTTCCCTGCTGTTTGTCGGAACCTTAAAAATATCTTAGTTATTTATTAAATTTATACTTATTTCTAATTTCTATTTTTATTTCTTAATCTTAACTTTTTTTAGCTTTACCTTTTTAATTTCTTGGTTATCAGAAAACATTTTACGTTTGACTCTATCAACATCCGGATATTTGTTTATGAGACTCGTCGAATAAGAAATATTTGAGTTATCAGAATCCTCTTCTGAATCTTCTTCACTGGAAGGGGAATATTCGCTGCCTGATGTAACACTTTCATCAGTACAATTATCCATATAGTCTAAAAATTTAATTTATGTACATAGGTAGGTATGTATGTAATAATAACTCAAGTAATGTATATTATATCTATATTTTTTTAAATAAAAAATTGAATTGCAGAGGGGGTAAATTGTTATTAAAAAGAGATGATTAATTAATAAAGGTAGTAAAAATTTTTTTAATATGCTTACCTGCTTTAGAGTTGACCTTCTTTTGAAGTCCACTAGTGCTTGGCTGCTCCAAAATCACCGCATTGGTATTGACCTCTAGAGAAGTACAAAATACAGTTTCTATCTACAAAAAAATTCTCTATTCGGACTTACCTTTATTTGAAACACATATTTTCTTGTTTTTTACTAATTCTAACATTCTTTTACTTCTCGAACCCATGTTGAAAGATGTGATAAACAACAAACATAACCTTAAAATGTCACATGGCACCTACCATGTAAATAAAACTTTCCCACTATCTAGTGGATAAAGGTGCTATGTCCTTAAATATGGACATAGCACCTTTATCTAATAAAAAAGGGTACTTAGTCATAGGACATAGTACCTTTATCAATTAAAATAATCCTTATTATTAACAATTTAAGAATCTTGAGTTATTCAGGGGTTGTATTACGACTTTAGGTAACCAAATATACAAATAAGTCATTTTTTGAAAAAAAATGGACATAGCACCTTTATCAACTCATGTCTTCAATTATAGTAAATCCTAAATACAAGTTGCAAACTGAATGTCTTAGAAAATTGGTATGTACAATATAATAATGCAGTAACTTTGAATAAATGCAGATAAACCTTTTAGCACCAACGAGAAATCTTTGACATATGACACTGGACATAAAACCAGATATTTCATTCAACATTGATTAATGTAACATTTATTCCTATGAACACGAAAAAAATACGTTTAGTTCAAAACAGTATTCAAAGGTTGCTACAAGAACACCAAATTTTATTGGAAAATTTTCTTGTAAATTTTGTATTTTATCTCTGAATCTTTATGGATATATAGATGTGGTATTTCCACGTATTCTGGAGAGATTCTACTGATAGATAATCCGTTATCACTAATTATTCTTCAACAGATATATAGATGATTCTTCACCAGGTGTCTTTAGACCTTCCAGAAATGTTTAATTTTCCTATTAGGTAATTAAATTCTTATTTTTTATACCTTTTTCAGTGAAAAATTGTTCCGAGACATGGCTGATCATATGGCATCGGACGGTTATCTTGATGCTGGTTATGAATACATTATGATCGACGATTGTTGGGCTTCTAAAAAGAGAGATAGTAAAGGAAGATTAGTTCCAGATCCCGATAGATTTCCAAGTGGCATTAAAAATTTATCAGACTATGTAAGTAATATGTTATTTATTACAATTTATTACGATTTGGTCAGTTTTCTTGTTAGTATTTACCAACTACTCTTTAAATTGAGGTAAAAAAGAAAATTGTATTGATATTCTTAGCATTTTACTTAGTTTGACAAAGCTTACAATTTCAAAAACCATTAAATTGTCCTATCTATATGAGTCTGGAAAGTGACAAAAACCCTTACAAATAAGCTGCTGGTATTTATTAATAAATGTCTACGACAAATTGTTCGTATTTTCTGGTCTAACATCATCAGAAACGAAGATCTACTACACCTGCAAGGTGGCTGGGGCACCCCAGGATGGGGAACTTGCCATACTGCTGTCGCAGTTCGTCAATTTCTTCAGGGCATTTTACAAACAAATTCATTTCACGATTTACTGACTTCCCCTATCATACACATTCTCCAGACTTAGCATCCCCAAACGCATACATTTGGCACAAACCATCAATGAGTTAAAAAGGCCGTTAGAGCCTTCTTCGCAGACTTGAGACACCCTTTATTCCATAACATTACGAGAAATCTGGAATATCGGTATGAAGTCTGTCTTGAGAGAGGAGGAGATCATTTAGACCATGTTATAAAGTGTCAATAATATGTATTTTTTAAAACAGTAAAATAATTAAAAGTTCAGTACTGTTTATTTTGGGATATACTATACAATGTTCATCATCATCATTCTGGCCTTACAACCCTGCGTGGGTCCAGCCTCCTCAATAATTTCTCTCCAGTCATCCCTATCCATCGTCTTTCTCTGCCAATCACGTATTCCGTTCTCATGTCTTCATCGATGTTATCAAGGAACCTTGTTCTGGATATTCCTCTTCTTCTCTGACCAATGGGTCTATAAAGGAGCGTTTTTCTCAGTTCATTTTGTTCCTGTTACAAGCCCTATTCACCTCATACGCCCTATCTTAATATGTTTTACGATATCTGCTTCCTGGTATATTCTATAAAGTTCGAAGTTGTATCGTTTTCTCCACATTGTGATCCCTCCATTCTCCACATCATCCACATTCTCTCCATTGTGATTCGCCGCTCCATAGATTCGGCTTAATACTTTTTTTTTCGAAACATCTAATACTTACAATGTTTATTTGTTCAATAGCAATGATTTGCTAAAGTAAAATGAGTAAGATGAGAAATTTGCTGAGTAAGATATAATCAATTGCCACGTTATAATTGAATGCCACTCGATGGAGAAAGAAAGGTAACGCAGGTGACTAGTTGAGGGCTGAAATATAGTAGGCTCATGGTAACAGTGCACGGTAGGCTTGAACTCTATCTAGGATCTGCCTTATTAAGGGCGTTGCGAAAAAATCCGTGATTGTTTAGGAGGTCGCAAAACGCAAAAGATTTGGAACCTTAGCACTAGAGTGTAGCAAGAAATGAATGGAGTGGGGAATAAGTAGAAGAAATATTTGAAATGAATAAAAACACGTTCCGAACCGCAACAAAAACTCATTACGCTCATTAGGACAGAGAAATAAATTTTATTCCGGGTTGTGCTTAATCTTTTCTTTCGTCCTATCGTTATTGTTTTTTCTTATCTTGTTTATTTACATTTGTCCACCATTTCCAAGTCAGTTTCCTTTTGATTTACTTCTATTGTATGTTTTTATTCAGATTTTTGAAGCTGTTTGTTACAACTTATAAATGAAACGAAGCAGTTGAATATACAGTTAAGAGTAACTTTATTTTGTTCCAAAAGTGACAGTTTACATTGTACCGAACTTAACTTCCTGTAAATGACATATGGCGCTAATATTTAAATTTTGTTTAGTTGATATCAATATTTCAACACCTCCACTTATCAATAAAAGAAAATCTATAGGTTTCCTGTACCTAACAGTTTCAATAATCTGTGCAAATTTTCACCAACTAGACCTTTAGTTAACACATCAGCTGGCATAACATCAGTAGGCAAAGATTGTACATTAATGATTGTATCAGATATTAGGTCTCTCCAAAATTGATATCTTACAACAATATGCTTACTTCTTTTATAATAAATTGGATTTGCTGATGAGTTTGATGCACTTTGATTATCATTAACTAAAGTAATACATTCAGTTTTTTCAATTAAATCACTTAGCAAACCCTTAAAAAACAGCCTCTTTAGCAACCTCTGACAAGGCCATACATTCTGCATGCAGCTAGATAAAGCTACCGTACTTTGTTTTGCATTTTTCCAAGATATTGCAGAGCCAAAAAGCTTAAATACATATCCAGTAAAGGATCTTAGATCTAGTGAATTACTTGCCCAATCGGCATCTACAAAACCTTGCAATTCTGAATCATCTTTTGAGACAATCAGAGAATAATTAATAGCGTCTTTTAAATACCTATTTTTGCGCATTTCCAATGAAACTCATTTTATTCAATTTAATGTTTTAGATACACAGTAAAGGTCTTAAATTTGGAATTTACGCTGATTATGGAACCCTAACATGTGCTGGTTATCCCGGTAGTAAAGAGTACCTTAAAATTGACGCTGACACCTTTGCAGAATGGGAAGTAGATTACCTAAAGTTTGATGGGTGCAATTCAGACTGGATATTTATCGATAAAGGTAAATAACGAATAGATTTAAGATAAACATTGATTTTTGTCAATATTTTTAAAACGTTCACTTTTTTTATCGTGTTTTTATGCCTATCTTTAATATGTCTTCCCCCTTCGTATATTCAGTTTGATTGTCAATATTTTACCTAGTTTTATCCATTTAGTTTAACTAGTTTTATTATTATCTATCTTTCAATGACTTCTAGTTATTTTCCTTATTTTTCTATGAAGATGGTTAATGAAGGAGGAATGGAACCACCCTAGTTTAATTTTAAGATGATAATTTCTGATTATCTTAAAATTATGATCAGAAACCATTTAAAAAAGTTAATCGGGTTTGGGTATTTCTTGCTTATTCTAGCATCAAACTCGCTCCAGCTCCATATTTTTGTTTGGTATTTTTTATTTTTTTCTTAAATGAGGAGATATCTGACCTGTCTTAGTTCTTCTATACATACTTTTGATTATGATTACAAGGGGAATTGGCTCTGATATTTCTATAGCAAAAATTCAAACATTAAAATAATTTGAATAATTTTCTAAATCTAGTATTATTTTTTTTAGGTTATATTGAAATGGGTAAACATTTAAACTCAACAGGTCGCCCTATTGTTTACTCATGTAGTTGGCCTGCGTATCAGGAACCAAATGGAATGCAAGTAAGTACATTATTTGTTGCTTATGCACTATATTATTAATGGTCGTTTTAAATCATCTGTATCAATAGTAAACATAATATCGATATACGTCATATACCTGTATGTTTTGTTTGATCTGTTTTTACACTGTGTAGAGTCTATAATCTGTTTAAATCTTAGAATATTTAAACGTAGGTTGCACAGAATGAAAGTAATAATTATTATTAGGCACGAGTAGCGGGTAGGATCTCCTTTAGATAGTCCTATCAGGGAAAATTAATCAATCCCTGCCTCCGCAAATTCCAGGTGTTTCCTTATCCGGGAAACTAGTACCTGCTTAGGGTCCCTTATCCAGGGTCACGGATGAAGTCCACAAAGACAGCCACGGCGGAGAAGAATTTCTTCGGTACGGTGTAGATGGCGGAATGATTGAAAGGTAGCAGCGATTATCAGTACCAGCTCAAAGCGCATTGAAACTGAACTATCACAAGCATGACTGAAGCAGTTTAAATGGTTATGATACTGCGATGGAGAAGGCAACGGGAAACCGCTCCATTATTATTCCCTAGTTTAATCATAATGGCACTATCATATGATAAGAAAAGGTATACTGGTAATGGTCCTCGGACAGGAGAAGAAGTACACAGGGCTTCCCAGGCTGTTATCCAGCAAAATCTCTGTGATAATGGAAAAGAAATAAGAATACAATCAGTAATCGGAATTTGCACATGGAATGTGAAAAGTCTTTACGAGCCCAGTAAGATACGACCACGATCTATTCTATTCCGGAAAAGAAGGCACTAAACTACCGGAATGGCGTCGCATACATTGTACATAAAGAAGTCTCTTGCTGTATTAAATCTGTAAGTTACGTTCTGGAAAAAGTCATCGTAGTGCAATTAAAGTCAAATCCAGTAGATATAAATCTGGTCCTTTTATGCGCCCACAGCCAGCAGTAGTGAAGACGACAAAGAGAATTTTTATGATGATATAAAGAAGGTAATGAGTCAGCTGAAAAACAAAGACATTACAATAATAATGGGAGACTTCAATGCCAAAGTAGGAAAAGGTAGACATGACATTACACACGAGATAGGAAAGAAGTTCGAAAAATCGGAAGAAACACATAAAGTCGAAGACCACTGGAATCATGTCAAAACCATTATACAAGAAACAACTAAAAAGTATAAAGCTATTAATAAGCGCAAACAAAAATGGATGACTGATGAAATATTGGGACTAATGGAAAGCAGACGACAAAAGAAAAATAAAAACAAAGAAGAATATAATAAAATCCATTAAGAAATCAGAAGGAAAATTCGGGATGCAAAAGAAAAATGGTACAGCAACAAATATCTTGTAATAGAAGAACTGCAGAAAAAGAATGACACGTTTAATATGTACAAAAAGCGAAACAAATAACTGGGACATATAAATCAACTGCAAGTAGTTTACTTGATAAACAAAGAAATATTATAGTCAATGAACAAGACAGATTAGAAAGGTAGAAAGAATATATTGGGGAGCTGTTTTATGGCGATAAAACAGAAATTCAAATCGAAAATATATCGACTGGTCCAAAAATATCACTCGATGAAATGGAAAGAGCTATAAAGCTATTAAAGTATAGGAAAGCAACCGATCCAGATGAAATTCCAAGCAAATAATAAAACTACTCGACAATAAGGGTAACATTCTCTTCTAAGCCTCTTCAATAAAATATACGAAACACGGACATATATACCAAACAGACTGGGCTACTGTCAACATTTCTAATGATACCGAAAAAAAAATTAATGCCAAACATTGTAGTAGGATCATTGCACCTATCAGATCCGATGAGTCATGTACTGACAATTTTCCGAATTAATACTGCCACTAGAGAATTTACAACGAAAATAGTAGTTACTTAACTATGTAAAACACACAATTTGGTTTAGAATCAAAAATTGAAACAACCTTGGTAGGAGCACTCTTCAGTTTGCTGGTCATGGCTTCGACAGATGTAGGGATAGTTCGAACAATCGGTATAATATGTATCTTTTATCGAACTTTGATAACTGCCGTTAGCTGGTTTGGGCCAATCACTTTGAACTTTCTATCCCCTACGGAGACCGGATAGAAGCTAAACAGTCTATCGAAGAATTTGTATGCTACAACCTTTGTGATCCTACATGCATTTCGTTGTAGAAGAAGAAGGCAGAAAACAGTAACCCGGAAGTGAAATATCAGAAGCCAGAACCCAGCTTTGATCCCTCAGCCAGGTAATTGGGTGTGTCGGCAAAAATAACTTCATCGGGTTTTTTCATCCACCAGGAAGACTATATGAGTGCTGGGTTCTATGCGTCTTCAGGACAAGGTCAGGTCAGTTCTGTGGATAGGGAAAAGGAAACAGACCAGCGTGACAGACTTTTTCGTTAATGTAATCTTTTTACACTTGATTGAAAATACTGTACAATACCATATTGTTTTTTTTTTGTACAGTATACATTTTTTAATTGTACAGTAATTTTTGTATACTGTATTGCTTATTCATTCTTATAATAAATCTATGTGTGTATAGTATACAGTAATTGGAAGATTCAAAACGGAACATACGAATTATTAATACAATTATTAAGATCCCCTGACCTGCAATTACCCAGTGTAAATTTCAATATAACGTCGCGATGTCTTATAATTAATTCATTTGTTCGACTGGATTGCTACTCCTTGGCGATTTCTAGTAGCGTATTCGACAGGTGTACGTCGACACTGTTGTCTATCGTCCACTGATTTTCTGTGTTTTTGTGCAGATAATAACAATGTTTTATTAATAACAATTTTTTTGTGTTCATTAGATATTATTTGAATTGGTTAGTGTATAGTTTAATATATTTATTATTCCAAATATTGTTGATAATTTAAAATTTAAAAGGATGTATATGATACATCAAAATCTACAGATTTTTGCCGAAGGTATCTATCGATTTGGCAACAGTCCCAAGGAACATCACTGGCCGAGCAAAACAAATACATGCCCTTTGCTTTGCTTCTCATTATAACGCCATAAGCTGAAATAAAAGTAGTGTTTCTAACCATAAACCATGTATACAAACAAAGAAAAAGTACAAATTTTAAAATGGTATTATGGGGGCAACTCGTACCGTGATATTATAAATTTATTTACTTGTGCGTATGAAGATAGGCCAATACCGACACAATCAACTATTAGTCGTATTATTAAGGTGCGCACGTGCGCAGCAGTCGAAAAATATCGACTGGAGAAGGAGTCCAGTCGAACAAATGAATTAATTATAAGACATCGCGACGTTATATTGAAATTTACACTGGGTAATTGCAGGTCAGGGGATCTTAATAATTGTATTAATAATTCGTATGTTCCGTTTTGAATCTTCCAATACTGTATACAGTGTTAATTCATTTATAATTGATTTGATCAATCATTTAAATTAAATAAAATTAAATAGGTTAGTTAGTTCAGTATTATTACTATTACAGTAACGATTTTTGTCTTTCTCTGTATAACAATCTCTCCTTATAACAATGAAAATTCCCGGCATCTCACATATCGTTATAGAGAGACAGAGGACTGTACTAAAAATGTTAACCATGTACAAAATCTCTTGGCTTCTGGTACTTTTCGTATCATCAATTTTAACACTTGTAATAAACATATTCTTCTTTTAGTCTAACTACACAGCTTTGGCTGAAACTTGTAATCTTTGGAGAAATTGGGACGACATTGACGACAGCTGGGAAAGTGTCACATCTATAATAAAGTGGTTTTCTGACAATCAAGATCGAATTGGTCCATTTTCGGCGCCTGGGCACTGGAATGATCCCGATATGGTAAGAATCTTAAAATAATTGGAATTTTCATTACTTTGTACCTACAATTCTAATATTATACTATATTTATACTTGTTATATAAAAGAGTATCCATCAAATTTGATTTCTAGCTTGTAATTGGAAATTTTGGATTGAGTTTTGAACAAAGCAAAGGACAAATGTCAGTTTGGTCGGTAATGGCAGCTCCATTGATAATGTCAGTGGATTTAAGAACGATTGAGCCTAAATTTAAAGCAATTCTCCTCAACAAAGATGCTATTGCGGTAAATCAAGATCCCTTAGGTGAAATGGGTCGGCTAGTACTAAAGGTTTGTTCGAATATGATTTTCATTTATTACATAAACGTTTACTATAAAAATAAATCATTTTTTGTTGAATATAAATTGAAATATTTATTGAATTTATTAAGATTGATTATCTGTATTCATCACACAGCCATGTTATTACCATTACAAATTTACTTAATAGTTTTAATATGAGAATGCTGGTTACCGATCCAACCAGAGATAACAGCAATTGGATTATATTTGTACTAATCTACATCTAGATCTGGCTGTGTGCAGGGTGATTCCCTATTTTTCATCAGATCATGATCCCATTCTATGTGAATTTCCCTTTAAGAATCCACCTTATACAGCCAGATGGGGTAGGATTTTCAGCAAAAGTAATTTTGACAGATTTTTCAAATTATGTAGTCAGGAAAATTGGAACAATATTTTTTGCTCTCCCGATTTGCTTCATCAATTTCATCACACTCTCATGAAGATGTTCATTTTAAAATTTAGCATTTTAAAGTAAGCAGCACATTGGGACGCAGGTGACACAGGTGGCGCAGTGTAGGGCAGGCTACACAGGTCAGAAAATATGCGTGTCACGCAGTGTGAGCGCATATTTGGAAGCAGTTTTCTCGAAAATTTTGAGGTGCGAATATCGAATATTTTATATGAACAGAGAAAGAGAATTTTATAATTTAAATAATGGCGTTATTTCTGGACAGTTCCGAATCAGAGTCAGACGCAGAGTTTGAAGAAACAGTTTTATTATTCAACATGTCAAAGAGAAAAAAATCATTTTGGAAAAGCAACTATATGAAAAAGAGAAATACTCATGGGGAATTTGCACTATCATCAGAATTCTCTAAGTCTCGTTATTTAAATTATTTCCGGTTAAGCAGAAAACAAGTTGATGAAGTACATAATATAATAGAAAACAGTATTTATTCAGATGGTTGTAATCCCCAAAAACCAATAGGAACCAAAGAAAAACTAGCTGTTTTTTTAAGGTATTATTTTTATTAATTTTGATTTATTAAAAAATACAAAAATATCATTTTAAATAATCATAATTCTATACTCTATAATTTTCCACAAAATTACGAATATTACCGGTATCAGCGGTTTGAGGAGAAGTCTCAGCAGACAACCTGGGGGCGAGTGTAGTAGATGAATAATTACTGGTGCTTCTAGAGTTGTAATAATTTGAGCATAAAAAAGAGTTGTTGGGAATAGGAGCTAAAGGATTATTACAATGTTGATTCTCAGTATGCTGGCTACTGTGACTGGAACTTGGTGATGGAAGAGGTGTTGACGAGTAATGGGGCTGCTGAATATGGGTATTAACATATACACTTGTAAAAACTCTTTGTTCACTATAAGTATAGTTTTCTTGACTGGGCTCATGAATTTCTAAATATGCAGCTTCGGCGCATATAGTTTAGCTTTAGGAGGCATTTTTTTTTGGTTATTTTGTACATCGACATATAAAAATAATAGAGATCATCATCCAAAGGCTTCTGTGCTGCCCTTTCAACTGCTCTTTCTTCGGCACTTTTTTGACGTTGCATAATTGACTGCTTTATCACTTCCTGTATATCATCATTTTTAGGTTTCTTATTTTTAGCTGCTTTGGTTGTGATTGATTGGTCTTCAGTTGCCTTACGTTTGGCATTTTCTTTTTCGGTATTTTTTTGTACAACAATACCAGACGTAGACGGCTCATTAACAATGTTATTTTTAACACTCTCGATTTCTTCGGTATCATGTCGAATGTTGCTGGTCACCTCGTCAAAAATTTCACTCTCTGGATCAACTATGGAGTCTTCCTGTTGTGGGTTCAATCATGGTTCACTATCTTCTTGTAAATTACTTATTTAATTTAAATAATTGGGATCGTTGGTATCGTAAAGAATTGTCTGGCTTCTCACTAATTCGATTAATTATTGTTCATTCATTTCGAATATAACCACACAAAATTTTACTAGAAACAAACAAACTGCTCTGCACGTGGCACAGGAATTTGTGTCCGGACGACTGCGCTGGCAGGTTTTCTTAAACACAGTTCTGTGCTACCCTGCCCTGCGTTTAAATTCGCGCGGGGTAATGTAATTGTACGGAAAACAGAAACCTGTGCTGTCCTACGCTGCGTTGCCTGCGTCACCTGCGTCTGAATGTGCGGCGCGCCTAAATCGAAAAGTAAGAAAATTTGAGTTACTAAAGGAATTGGAATTTCCTGCAAAAACTTAAGATCCTTAAATTACATTAAAAAACATAATTTGTAATGATGAATTATTGATCTATTTCTATAAATATAGGTCCATACCTATATAGGAAGGTTACTAAATTAGCCAAATGTATATTTTTTAAATCTAGAATGGAAAATGCCAATAATAAACAAAAGGAATCTTGGCGTAGGTATAATTAATAATCTTAGAGCTAAAGGTCACCAATCTACTGATATAGTCTTGGACCTAGTAAGCTAAATAAATATTACTGCTCGGTAGATCCAGAACTCGCTGGAAAAATTAATTCTTCTTCTGATCCAATGCGTTTTTTAAATGGAGTAAACATTACAAATTCCTTCTATTTTTTTCCCACTAACTCGGCTAAAATAAAAAATATTATTCAAGGCATTAAAAATCCTATGTCCGCAGGCTGGGTATGCATCCTGATAATGTTCTGAGAATTTTAGCGGAGACAATTAACACATCTTTTTCAATGGGTCACTTTATAAAAATTTTTAAACTGTGCTAAGGTTATTCCTCTGTATAAAGGTGGTGACCACGATTTACCTGCTAATTATCGTCCTATCTCTTTGTTACCGTCGCTTTCAAAGATTGTAGAAAAATTGATAAAAATCCGAATGTTGACTTTCTTACAAAAACATAATTTACTTTCTTCCTTCCAATTTGGTTTCCAGTCATTAAAAAGTACATATGATGCTATCTTCGAATTCATGGAAAAACTGTACTTGCCCTTCAATAACGATTATGTTGTTACCGCAGTTTTCTGTGATCTATCTAAAGCCTTTGACTGTGTCAATTACAAAATACTTCTTAATAAACTGGAAAGATATGGGTTTAGAGGCACTGCTCGTGGTTCTGTTCATACTTGGAAGACAGATGCCAGTCTAGTAGTATCTTTATTAATTGTGGAGTATCTCAAGGCTCTGTCTGGGGACCTATCTTTTTCTTGATATATTTTAACGACATAAACTAACCACGACATTAATTGCCGTTTACTATATTTGCAGATGACACCACAATATTATTTGTCATTTATTTCTAAACCAAATTAATTTCTTTTAAGAATGATCTAAACAACATTACTCTGGGCAATAAAGGCATTTGTTCTGACACCGCAAACAAATTTTTAGGTCTCTATATTGATAATAAACTTAAATTTGAGCAACACACTGTATTTTTAAGCAAAAAGATATCATAGGGTTGCTTTGCGATCAAATCAGTTGCTCACCATTTAGATTTCAAGATTGCAAAGAGTGTTTATGTGGCCCTGATTGAATCTAATTTGAGATACAGTATTGCCTTTTAGGATAGTTGATCTCTTCATTATTTCAGTAGAAATTTTATGCTACAAAATAGAGCACTCAGATATTTATGCAAGGCCAAGTTTGGTCTATCATGCAGGCCTCTGTTCCGGAAACATGGTATCTTGACACTTCCTTGCATGTATAGCCTTGAATTAGCGTGCTTAATTTTTAAAAAACATAAAGAGGATATTCGAACAGTTTCCCATTATAAAACTCGTCTAAAGTATGTTATTCCACTTCCAATTTTCTCTTCTACATTAATTAAAAAATGATTTATTTACACTGGTAAGAAAGTGTTTAATCACCTACCACTCGATATAAGATCCTCAAGCAATATTTTGTATTCCGAAAAGCAATCAAGAAATTTTTATTGTCTAAATGTTATTATAGTACAGTGGAATTTTTTGAGGACAGTTGCGCTAATTGATATGTTTTTTTTTAATTATGAAAATTTTATAATTAGTATTTTAATGTATCTTGTGCCTTGTTTGTACTATACCATGTTGGGTATTATAAATGTAAAATTTTAAAAACAATAAATTTCTCTCTCTCTCTCTCTGTTAAAAAACTCACAAAAAATACTTTAGTAGTATTGTTTATATGATTATATAGTAGAATGTTTTAATATTTTTGGCGGTTTTTAGAAAAACAACATTTATATATGGACGAAGCAGCTAACACCCAAAGATGATGGCAGAAAACCTTACGCCATTGCCGTACTAAGTCAAAGAACCGATGGATATAAATACAGATTGGAATTTACTTTAAAAGAATTGAATATTACCAGTCCAAATGGATTCTTTATAAAGGTAAGATAATTTTTGATACTGATATGTGTTGTGAATATATGCAGATTTTTTGAGAAAAAAAAAACATATTAAAAGTCGTGTGAATTGTGAAACTAGTAGAGTTAACGACAGACAGTTAACGACAGTCGAAGCTTTAATTATAATATACAGGGTGTTGCAAAAAGGTAGGTAATAAATTAAATCACGTATTCTGGAACCAAAAATAGTTCGATTTAACCTAACCTACCTTAGTACAAATGTGCACATAAAAAAAGTTACAGCCTTTTGAAGTTACAAAATGAAAATCGATTTTTTTTCAATGTATCGAAGTGTTATGTAATTAGCAATGTATAAATGAATATACACAAAAAAGAAAAAAATAATGGAATAACTACATAAGCAAAATGGAGTGAAGAGGAATGAAGTCACCAATCAGCAGAAGAAGTATCGGACGAACGCGCAAAAGATGGAGTGACAACCTTCCATAGGGATATTAATCCTCCAATGAACAAGCAGAATTGCTTGTAAAGAGAAATAAGAAAAAGAAGAAGAAGAAGTACATTTTTTGTGTTAAGTTTCACCAATTTTGAAGTTATGAAAAATCCGTGTGTTTCTTGCAATTTTTTAATTGTCCATTGACGCTTTTCACACAAAGTATAAACATAAATATTGTTTTTTAGTTGGTCAGTTGAATCTTTGCTTATTTACTGAAATCTAAAACTCGTGTATATTGCTATCTCATTTTCTTGGATATTTCTATTTGAAAACTAACTGCACGAAACAAATATTTCTTCCTATTTTTGAACAAAACTTTTTAGATTTCAACGATTTTTGTTATAGTTTAAAGTTTTAAAATTTAAGTAAAGTTTTATAACATTTACATAAGAATACATTACAGTGTTTATGATAATAACGAACAGAATATTATTATAGATAACTTTTTCAAAGAAAACTAGGTCAAACATATGATCTTTATCTTAAACTTTGCATACGTTTTAACCAAAATCGGAGATTTAAGATACAATACATCAGTGAAACTCTTTGTTGGATATATTTTTTAAACAACCGTCAAGATGTTAATATATTTTTTTTATTATTTCAGGATATTTTTGATCAAAATAAATCTGTGGCATCCATAACAGATGATGAAGCATTCGTATTAAGAATGGCACCAACAGGTATATATAGACTTTTAATATAATTTATTCGAATCGAGAATATGAAATAGCAGAGGTTCCCAAACTTTTTCGGTTTGCGACTACTCAAATAATCAGATTTGTTCCGAGACGTCCTTAATACACC